TCTCTCTCTCTCTCTCTGACTTTATTTGAAACTGCAAGTGGAACTGCAGTACTCAGTACTCAGTATATAGTACTCAGTATACAGTATATAGTACTCAGTACTCAGTATACAGTATATAGTACTCAGTATACAGTATATAGTACTCAGTATACAGTATATAGTACTCAGTATACAGTATATAGTACTCAGTACTCAGTATACAGTATATAGTACTCAGTATACAGTATATAGTATATAGTACTCAGTATACAGTACTCAGTAAGCCCACCCTGTCCTGCCCAGTCCTGGTCCCAGTGAACCTGGTTCTCCATAGTCCTGGTCCTGAAGGTCTGAAGTTTTAAAGGAGGACCTTCAGGACCTCTGCAGACTCTGGTCCTGGTCCTGGTCCTGGATATTTTAAACTGAGTAAACTAAACATACTTTGTACTCAGTCTCACAGCGCACAGGTTTGGAGGGTGCAGTGCTGTTACTGCGGCGCGGCGCGCTCACCGCACATCTGAAGAGATGATGACGTGGCGCAGACAAACCTGATACTGCCGCTATTCACAGGCTAGCTAACCTCACTAGTCAACGATCGCTGCCATATTTTTGCGAGTGTTTACGATGTCGCCCTCTCCGTGGTTCGAATACTAGCCTGATATCGGTGCAGCAGACTGAGGCGAGAAAGAACCGCGGTGCGCTGCGGCAGTGAAAATACACCGATAAATTCAAATGTCGGTGCTTCTGGTTGTCCATGATCAGGCGCTGCTGGCTCGCTGGTTATTTTTCATTTGACACAGGTAACGCTTCGGAACCCGGCGGCTACTAGCTAACTAGCATTAGCATTTGCGATACCGTTCGTGATAAAAGACAAACAGGTGACACCACAAATATACTCCAAACGATAAACGCTGGCGGTGCTCGGTGGAAAGAACACGTGTAAAAGGAAACGTATTACTGATATCTGTAAAAATACTGTCAGGTCGAGCATCGCCGACCCACTGGAACCACCGCCATCCACCGCCGTCCACCGCTGTCCACCGCCATTCTTACCGATGACAGGAGTGCGGCGAGTGTCCGCAGTCAGATACTCTAAATCTTGACTGATTTTCACAGACTATCCAAACTCTTTTTCCATTTGGAGGTGAGTATACTCAAAATATGGAAGTATGCGATTTGGGACACACCTCTGGTTTGGTTGTATCCAGGTCCAGGTCTGCTGTGACCCTAGAGGGACCTCCAGACTCTGAGATCCTGTTTCAAAGATGGATCAGTCCTTCAAACGGGGACATCAGAGAGACTTCGTTAAAGTTCCTGTTCCACATGATCCCAGTTTGGTGTGTGTGTGTGTGTGTGTGTGTGTGTGTGTCTGTGTGTGTGTGTGTGTGTGTGTGTGTGTGTGTGTGTGTGTGTTAGAGGACTTCAGGTGGAACTAAAGACTTTACTTGTGAACCGAGTCATTCCTGATGTTGTCAGTTCCAGTTCTGGTTTTCCCACGGTCCGTGAGTGAACTCTGCAGTCTCAACAACTCAGACTCAGCAGGAGGACAGTCAGCTGACACACACAGACACACACAGACAGACAAACAGACCACTCAGCCAGAACCACAACCACAGCAGCAGCAGCAACAACAACAACAACAACACTGACAGTAACTACAACAGACACTAAGCCTGAGACCGGGTCCAAGTCCTAACAAGAGCCACAGACAGGTTTAACAGACTACAGACAGACTACAGACAGATTTAAACAGACTACAGACAGGATTATACAGAATACAGACAGACTACAGACAGATTTAAACAGACTACAGACAGGATTATACAGACTACAGACAGGTTTAACAGACTACAGACAGGATTAACAGACTACAGACAGACTACAGACAGGTTTAACAGACTACAGACAGACTACAGACAGGTTTAAACAGACTACAGACAGACTACAGACAGGTTTAACAGACTACAGACAGACTACAGACAGGATTATACAGACTACAGACAGACTACAGACAGGTTTAACAGACTACAGACAGACTACAGACAGGTTTAAACAGACTACAGACAGGTTTAAACAGACTACAGACAGACTACAGACAGGTTTAAACAGACTACAGACAGACTACAGACAGGTTTAACAGACTACAGACAGACTACAGACAGGTTTAACAGACTACAGACAGACTACAGACAGGTTTAAACAGACTACAGACAGGTTTAAACAGACTACAGACAGACTACAGACAGGTTTACCAGACTACAGACAGACTACAGACAGGTTTAACAGACTACAGACAGACTACAGACAGGTTTACCAGACTACAGACAGGTTTATACAGACTACAGACAGACTACAGACAGGTTTACCAGACTACAAACAGACTACAGACAGGTTTAACAGACTACAGACAGACTACAGACAGGTTTAAACAGACTACAGACAGACTACAGACAGGTTTAACAGACTACAGACAGACTACAGACAGGTTTAAACAGACTACAGACAGACTACAGACAGGTTTAAACAGACTACAGACAGGTTTATACAGACTACAGACAGACTACAGACAGGTTTAACAGACTACAGACAGACTACAGACAGGAGTTGGGGGTTTTGTGATTTTGGAGAAGCTGTTTTTTTTTCTCTCTCCTGAAACTCGGAGGACCTTTTTGTCTGACTGGACTCTTTTAACTTTTCTCGGCGCTCAGAGAATTTTCCACTTCCTCATGCCGCGCCGCTCTCCATCAGCTGCTCCAAACACACTCATTACCACATCCAGCAGAGCATTTCATCAGCCTGGCTCACAGTGAACTTCCTGTCAGCTGTGGATGTTAGGAAACACTGAAACCTGAGCAAACCCGCTCAGCTCCGGTCGGTCCGTCTGTGTTTGAAGCGGAGAAATGGTATCTGTGTGTGTAACAGATCGTAAGTCATCAGAGGAAAAGCAGCTGTGAGTCTGCAGACGCTCTGTCTCTAACCTCCCTCTCTGTCTCTGTCTCCTGCAGATGAGCTGGCCAGCTGTTTGGACTGTGATGATCTGGTTGGAGGACTTTGTGATGACTCGTCGTTTTGCGGTACAGTCCGCCGCTCGCTCTCGGCTCCCCACCCCCCCACTGTGGACTCTGTAGGCTCCTCAGTAGGCTCCTGTGAGTCTAAGTATCACTGCGACCTGGTGACACGCAATGGAGGAGAAGTCTACCGCTATCCGAGCCCGCTGCACGCAGTGGCGGTCCAAAGCCCCGTCTTCCTGCAGAAGTGGGGTCATGGAGGTCACGGCAAAGAAGAGGGGACCCTGAGAGGTCTTGAAGCAGCCATAGAAGGACTGAAACCAGAATCGTTATTTTTCTCTCCTCCTGTTTCAGCGTCTTCAGTGCCTCAGAGCTCCTCCTGGCCGGCCCCCTCCTCCTTTTCCGCGACTACGTCACAGAAACAGCTGGACAGCTACATCTTCAGTCTGCTGCAGCGGAGAGCCCTGCCTGTCAGGACCAACAGACCCAGGACCAGCATCAGCACCGACCCGTCGAAGAGCATCCTGAGGCAAACCAGTCTCTGTGTGCGGCAGGTATCTGGTCCCAGCTCCGGTTCTGGTTTTGGGACTGTGACAGGCGCTGAGCTCAGACCTCCCTGGTTGGCTGCTGGAGCAGAAGGTGCCATCACCTCATCTCCTCAGAGGCAGTGGTCTGTGGAAAGTAAATCTGCGGAGCAGGAGGCTCCAAATGTTTACCCTGGAGGCAGCATGACCTCGGTAGAGAACGGCCTCAGGTTAACCACGAGCGACCCCGTACTAAACCCGAACCTGTCTCCTCTGAGGAACAGTGTCCAAACAAGCTCCCCTGTCAGGAACCAGGACCCCAACACAAGCACTAATATCCTGCTGAAGCCAAAAGGCAACAGACTCCTTCCTCCCTCAGCAGTGACTACAGCCACCCGGCCAAAAGACCTCAGGGAGCTAAGCTGCCCCAAGGCAAACTCCTCCCCCAAAGAGACAAAGCCACCATGTTACCCTGACCAAGAGCTGTCCTTCAAATCACCGCCAGCAGTCAAACTAGCAGCAGCTGCTCAAAAGAACAGCCCCAAACCTCCCCAAGCAGACCAGACTGAGAGAACAGAGAGGGTGGGTCCAGATAAGACCAGTGAAGATGCAAAGGTGGGGCCTCACATGGTAGATACCAGGGTGATCCTCAATCAGAAGCATAATACCAAACTTTGTAAAGGTGGCAACAAAAATGTCAAGTCCATCAAAGTGAAGAACACGACATCGAGGACAAGTCAGGACCTTAGATATAACGAGAGAGGAGGGGACAAATCCCACCACAGATCTAGCTCTAAAAAGAACCGAATGGGGGAAGACGGCGGCTCCTCCCATGGTAAAACCTCCAGGAGAGCAGCTGGTGGCCCTTACGTGATGCCCTCCTCCCAAATCAAGTGCCTCCCTGCGTCCATCCCTGAGGGACAAGTCCTGGACAAACACACCACATCAACGCTAAGCAGTGTGCAGTCAGGCTCATCCAGGTCCCATCGCCATCGCAATGGTCACCATCACTATGGACACCATCACCAGGGTGGAAACCGTCGCCACCATGCTCACCACCATAATCTCCATGGGCGTGACCAAGTGGTGGTTGTTGCCAAACCAAAGTACAAACGAAATGATTACCGGCGGTTACGAGCGATCATGGAAGTGCCCTATGATGAGGCGTTCAGGCGCGCTCAGCGACGTAAGAGAAAGGAGTTGCTAAGTCATTCTGCAGCCAATGGATTACTGAGCAGCCCGTATGCTTACACGGCAGGAAGTGACTCTGAATATTCAGCTGAGTGTGCCTCACTCTTTCATTCCACCATCGCAGATACCAGCGAGGACGAGAGGTCCAACTACACCACCAACCGCTTTGGAGACAGTGAGTCCAGTGAGGAGGAGTACGTGGAGGAGAGCACTGCCACCAGTGATACAGAGGAGAGTGGAGGAGGTGGAGCTGGGGGTGGGGTAGGTGGGACAGGAAGAGGGTGGGTTCATTCAGAGGCAGCAGGAGCCGGAGTGACGGGGAAAGAAATGACTGCAGCTCAGGCAAAGGCCTTCGTCAAGATCAAGGCCTCCCACAACCTAAAGAGGAAGATCCTCAGGTTCAGGTCAGGTTCTCTCAAACTCATGACCACAGTATGAGTCACCAAGTCCAGAGCCATGTCCCCAACCTACCCAGAGAGCCACACCTGCCAGAATGCTTTATCTGTGCACTCCAAACCCACCTGAATCAAGACCCGCTGTAGCCCACACCCAAGGAAAGCAAAAACCGCCCAGTAACCCTTCAAACCAGTCACTCATCAAACCAGTCAGCCTTATTTGTAAGAGCACATGTGACCAACAAGAATGTGATGTTACCCTGACATCTTGTCGTAGTACTTGGTGAGGCTGATCCAGGTATACCTTAAACTTGTAAAGGTAATCAGTCCAATGGAGGGACCTGGTGGAAAGTTGCTTAAACGAGAAATGTTTGAACATTTGTTTGTGTGACTGGATCAGACGGTAACTGTTTCTGAACGGCTGCCTGTCAGATACCCTCCAACACCCAGGACAAATGCAGCATCAGAAACTGCTAGAAAACCACATTTAGCAAAGAGAGGACGCGTCGGTACAGAGTTCACGTTGGTGTCCTTCACGTCCCTCTGTCTTCCTCCAACAGTGCCTCAGTTAATCTCACTGTAAACCCAAATAACCAATCCATATTGTCCTTCTGTGAGCTAAGGTGGACCCAGGAGGGTACTCTGGCTGTAGAAAGATCAGGGTTCATCATAACCAAATCCTGACCCACTGGACCAAACTGAGGCGCTTGTTGGAAACACACCATAAATCCGAATCTAAGGAGGCGTCACGGTGCGCCAGACAAGACACTTCAACCACACCTGCTGCCAGGGTGTCCATCTGCTGGGTGGATCCAGGCCTGTCTTTGGACCACCAACATGACCAGGGGGATCACTGTCCTGGTTTTAATGCCTTCAGTGGTTCTGATGATATTTGGATCATGTGGGACTAAAACTCAAAGAATGACTAACGTCACACTGAGCTGTAACCCTGACAGAGATGGTCTCATGTACGCAGGATCAGAGAGGTTCTGGGTCTTATGGGTCGGGGGTATTGGGTGTGCATGATTTGGTTTATTCGGGTCCAGTGTTAACCGTTACCTGTGGGCCTCTAGGTGGTCGAGGTGAGTCCAGTCTGACTCAGTGGTCTGAGTCCTTCTTAGAGAACATCTTAGTCAGTCCTCAAATCCGAACAACGTCCAGACCACCAGAATTTCAGTCTGACTCGGAGGTCTGTGAGTTTCTTCTGGACCATTTTTAGTCACTCAGGTGGCTCCTCACTCAGCTGATGTTTCTAAAGGGGGTTTGGAAGGGTCCTGTAAGGTCCTGGAAGGTTCTAGAGGGTCCTGGGGGAGGGGGGCTGGGTTCAGGTTCTGTCTCTTGCTGCAGTCCTCTGTATTTCCTGCACTTTGACACTCAGACAGACTGTCAGACGGATCATGTCGGCCTGTATGTCATTTTTTTTGTAGCCTTGTTTTGTATTTATTGTCACGTGACCTTTGCCTTTGGTTGTAGCGCACACGGCACGCCTCATGCTTGGTTTTGATTGGTCGGTAGAACGACGGCGCTCTGAAAAGCTATTTAAACTTAATATATTTGAACGATAAAGATGGTCCGGACTGACAGATTCAACAGCATTTAAACACAAAGACTCACTGACTGTTTACTGTCACCACTGTTGCCATGGTAACGACAATAAATAACATCTACACGTCTGAGAGGAAAACAGTGTTTGGGTAGGTTCAGCATCTAAACCCGACCAAAGTGACCAAAAAACCAGCCGTTTAACCAAGTTCATCACGGGCCGGTGAAGTCCTGGACCGGGTTTAACTGGAATCAGGACTAAGTTTGATTTTACTCTGAAACTGAGTCCGTTTACCGGACCTCCTTATTAAAATTTAAAGGGTTACTGACTCCTATGAAGCTTTGACTCTAGAGAAACAGTTTCCTGTTTTTAATGCGACTTCGATTTGACGTCCGATCACGCAGGTTTACTCAGCACGGCCTAGCTTATTGTAGCGTAGTTTAGACACAGCAGGAGGAGACTGTTAGCTCGTGTCACGCTCTGTAGGCGATATTTTTTTTCGTTGGATGGTAGGGGAAGGTCCCGCCTCCTTCACCTCTGATTGGCTAAAAAAGCTGGGCTCCGATTGGTTCTTCCTTATGGCTGTGACGCGTCATCACACGCTCGAGCCGAGCGCCGACTGTTGGCTCTGAACGTCGAACAGAACATTATTGCAGTTCTGAATCTCCGAACGCAAACCCGACAGACGATGACGTTTCACAGCCATAAGGGATAACCAATCAGCGCCCAGCACTTTTAGCCAATCAGAGGTAAAGGAGGCGGGACCTTCCTCTACCATCCTACAAAAAAAATGGGTCTCTGTAGAGGCAGCAGCTGGTGTTGACATGCTAACTACACGCTGATGAAGCTAAAGCAGTTAG